TAGAGACGGGGTCTCGCTCTTGCTCAGGCTGGTTTCGAACTCCTGAGCTCAAACAATCCGCCCGCCTCGGCCTCCCGGAGAGCTAGGATTACAGGCGTGAGCCACTGCGCCCGGCCTGAAATTAAGAATCTTGACATTAATATATTAATATTTTCAGACCATCTCAAACCACATCTAGCTCCTTTACATGTAATCTCAGTCTCTTTGTGATTTCTTAATTACTATATTTAGAACATTCATTTATATTAGTTTCCATGGGAATATGGAAGTCATATTAGTTTCCACAGGAATATGGAAGTCATATGGTTTTTCTGGCTAGAGGCACATATATGTGAGACTTGCTGATCTAATGAGTAATTTTGCTAAAACAGAGTGTTCTTTGGTAAATAAATGGCAGTTTGTGAAATGTTTTTATGTAAGTCTTAACAATTAAATCCAGTGTTAAGCTGTAACACTAACTTTAATTCATAAGGAATCTGGGAAAAATTTTACAAGAAAAAGTTCTCCAAAATGAGGACAATAAAAATGTAGTCTCTTCTAAAGAGCTGTTCTAGCTTGAGTAGCTAGGCCAAGAGAAAGCGGGGTGTCTTGAATTTCTTTATGGAAGAGAATTAGAGAGGCATTATACTTTAGAAGTCATATTGTTCTGATAGCTTCACTTACATAGAGTATTTATAAGGTATACCTATCTACTCAGTTAATTTTCATAGCTTTATGAGGTAGGTATATTTGTTATTCCCATTTTACAGAGGAAGAGACAAAAGCACAGAGAGGTTAAGTGCCTTGTCTAAATTTATACAGCTGGAAAGTGGCAGAGCCAGGATTCAAATCTAGGTCAGCTTGATTCCAGAATTTGTGTTCTTATCCAGTGTAACAAGCTTTTCAATCTGTGTGGCAAGCTATGAAATAGAAAGAGGACATTTTTTCTTTTCTTTTCTTTTGAGACAGGGTCTTCCTCTGTCACCTAGGCTGGGTGCAGTGGTGTGATCATAGCTCACGGCAGCCTTGAACTTCTGGGCTCAAGTGATCCTCCTGCCTCAGCCTCCCAAAGTTCTAGGATTACAGGTGTGAGCCACTGTGCCTAGCTGGAAGAGGACATTTTTCAAAACTTGGTGTCCCATTGTTAATTTCCCCTCAATACTTTAAAAATCTTACTTTGAAGTCCATTCTGCAGAATCTTCCTTCTTCAATTGACATGTTCTCTGGCACTTGAATGAAACGTGGTGGGTAGAATTTCTCCTGGATTGCGTCCTGATCATTCACATCTCCCCTGGAGGATGATCTACTTCTACAAAAATATTTTTATAATACCCATGCATAATTATTGTCATTGCTTTTCCTGTACACAAATATAGTTTAACCATCAAATTTGAAACCCCACAGTCTACTATTTGATCTGATAGTGTAATAACAATAGAGAGAGGCCTTAGGACTGTATTTAGCTGTGGCATATTTGAGGACTATTAGAAATGGTAGCAATTTAGAAACATCTGGTACAAATTGTCTTTGTCTCTTTATTGTGCTATAAATTGATAAAGAAATTGATCTATTAAAATGCAGACTACACCATAGCTTATTCTTATCACCTGCAAAGATTGTATAATTAGAATTGGGTTTCCATTGTCATGAGAAAGTTGTTTAACATGGAAACGTGGTCCTGGCTTATTTGACCAAAACATTAAAAAAACTACCTGTGATAGTTCTGATAATTAACATAAAAATTTCAGTCATCATCTCAGACATTTGAAAATACAGATTGTGTTTTTAAAAAGATAAAGCTTACTATAGTAGGCTTGAGGGCTTTATAAATATTACATTTTTACGCTGAAAATATTTTAGGTACAAAACATATTTCTTTAAAAATTAAAAAAATTTTACCTTACTTGTGATGTAGGAACTTGCAGTCGTGCATGTTCTGAGTTGTGCTGCTTGAAATTAAAACAAAATTAGAATGTTAACATGCAGTTGTTAGGTAGAGATGAAGCAGAATTAAGTAGTTCTTGAAAGGAACATTTCTATTTTGGCTGTATTTGTATAGTCATGGTAAGTTCTATATATTCAGCTTTTGAGCATTTAAAATATTGTGCATTAACCTGCTACGGAAATCCCCAGAATTAATAGACTATTCAACAAGTATTATTTATGAAAATTAGCTAGACTTGGAATTGATGGTGATTCACTTTTCAGATGACTATTTTATGACAAAGGGTGATATGTCCTCCTGGTGTATTTGAAATGGGAGCACATAGTACAGATTGTCCTTTAGTAAAACAGGAATAGATATGCAGTCACTCATCTTGGCAGTAGGCAGAGGGTATTATGCCTACTGCTCAAAAGTGGCATCAACAGCAGTAAACACATATTAGACTGGAAAATACTTCTCTTTTTAGCTCCTGGCACAAAATCCAGATGAACACCATGGAAGATATGCATAGAGCTATCAAAAAGCTTGGAAAAATAGCATTAATTACTTCCTATTTAATAAAGATATGTTTAATTTAAGCAAACATCTTTTAGGGTTTATGTCTGAGCACCAGAAAATTATTACTGTTTGTGAATAGAATCAGGAATTGATGACAATTATAATATAATTAATTGATTGATTAAATAGTGCTAGGTACAGTTGCATGTGCCTGTAATTCCAGCTACTCAGGAGGCTGAGGTGGGAGGGTTGCGTGGGCCTGGGAGTTGGAAACCAGCCTGGGCAACATAGTGAGACCCTATCTCTAAATAAGTAAATAAGTGCCTATTATTTATATTTCACTGTGCTTATCAGTGGGAGATACAAAGAAGTAGAAAATATAATCTCTATCGAAATATCTGAGATAAATCTGCATTAGGAACACAGAAAATCTGAGTACAAATAATTTATTTTGGGACACATCTGTTTAGGTAATGTATTTTGTCATTTTAAAACAAAGGTCTTACAACTCTGTAACAATTTTTGGCTAGCCTTAAGGTTCTCTAAGAAAAATATTAAAACAGCTGGTCAATTCAGTGATTCAATCAACTAATTTTTTTGTAAAATAAAAATAATACGATTAAATTCAAAATATCCAAATTAAGTTTTTGACTTTTTTCTATAGTGGTGGTTTGAACATGTATATAGTTATATTCGGAGATGTGGTATTTCAGTAATATCATAGTTTGATGACATTTTGTATTATTTGGGTATAATGTTTAAAGTGTACTAAAGGAGTAAGATCTGTCTTTTCTGGTTTCATAATAATATGTTTCTGCTGCTATCTTTTGCCTAGTACTATCACCTTCATTTTAAAGGTTTTAAGGAATAAATGAGAAAAAACAATACATCTTTGCTCTTGGAATCATACAGTGTGCATTTATAACAAACCATCATCAGTATAACATTGCTTTGAGTAATTTCCACTAATAGAGATGGGTTCGTGTCTCATTCTTGCTGTAACCTCCGGTTCTAGGTCTAGAGCCCAAAACACAGTAGGTGCGCCATGTAAATTAGTTGAATGAATGAATGCGTGAACTGTTCAGTAGCCAAAAAAATTTAAGTTCTCTTTTCAGTTTCTAATTCTTGCTCCATTAGACCCTGCTCCATCCTTTTTAGTAGGTCTAGTCTCATTGAACAGAAACAAAAATCTTATTTTCTGTTTTCTATACGTGGGAGCTAGAATTCTTGAGTTTCTAATTTTACCTCTTTGTCTCCCAGTTTCTTGTAGATTTTTTGGGAAGGAATGAGAGGTAACTATAGAAGGAAGACAGAGCATTAACACTTCAGTCTGCCTCTCCAACCGTACGTTTCTCTTTGGGGTTAAGTTTACTTGTTAAAATCAAGTTGGTTAGGCACAAGCCTGTGGAATATTCACTTTATGCTCTCTGTAAAGTTAATCCTTCCTTGCAAAGGATGCTTTTGTTAATCTTAGAACCATTACTCATAAGAATTTTTTTTAATAAGTATTTTTTAACATGGCAGAAGGAATTGGATATTTCCTTAGTACCACGAGTATATTTTAAAACACTGAAATGATAACCAGCTTATGTGAAAAAGTTATAATTACTTTAGAGTTTAACTTCTGTCCTATTAGAGATTTATAACTTATAAATTCTCTGTCCATGTAGACATTGTAGAAAGAGTCCTAGGTCTAACTGACCCCTAAATGTCCAGATAAAAAGTGATACCATTAGCCTTCTGGTGTTTTGACTTGTGACATTTTGTATCTGGTTATTAGAACTACCAGAAAATGGGGTAAAATCTTAAATATAGATACATATATACATATATATGCACCCATCATGGCCTCTTTATATATCTAATGGAGAATGGAAGTGATTGACTTTTATGTCAAATGCTATTTGTAAACATTTAGAAAAGCAGACACTTAAAAATTGCACAGAATAAAAGTTCTCCAGTTAGATAAAGATTATTTTATTAATAATTTACCTGTGGTGAATCTTGTGCATCACTGTCATTTTGAGCTTGAAACACGGCAGCTGCATTCTGTGGTCCTAGCAATCTGCGAGCCATCTTCTCCTCATATGTTAGCCGCTTTAAAGAAGTTAATAAGGAGATAGTAATGAGATTTAATAAAAGATGTTTGTGCAGACATACCTTAACAGTGCTCTTAAGTCAGAACTTTAAAGAAGTATGGTTCTATCTATTGAGTTGTAGATTTTATGTTTTTACAAGAGACTTTTCTTTCATTCAAGGCATTTTCCTTCCATTCTAGTGCCACTTCCCTCATCTCTAGTAAAGATTCACTTAGCCTTGCTTTTTGTTCCTACAAAAGACAGGCAGGCATAATCACCCTTAAATAAGGCTTTTCCAAGTAAAGGGAAACTATTCCCCTTCCCTTTTGTTCTGTATGTTCCAGTCTGCCTTGTTTTTTGCTTTTGTTTCTTTGAGACAGGGTCTCACTCTGTCACCCAGGCTGGAGTGTAGTGGCCCAGTCATAGATTGCTGTAACCTTGAATTCTGGGCTCAAGCAATCCTCCTGCCTCAGCCTCCCAAGTAAGTGGAACTATAGGCACATGCCAATAGTCTTTTTTAAAGAGACTAAGTCTCACTGTGTTGCCCAGGCTGATCTCAAACTCCTGGGCTCAAGTGATCCTCCTGCCTCAGCCTCCCAAAATGCTGGGTTTATAGGCATGAGCCACAGTGCCATGCCTGTTTTTGAATATAATGCTGCATATCCTCACATTCAGAAATAACTTTTATTAGATGAACACTGAATATTTGTACTAACTTCTGATTGAGAGCAGTGCAACTGATAATGCAAAAGGCATAGGGTACTATTTTAAAGATAAGTGAGTGGGCTGGGCATGGTGGCTCATGCCTGTAATCCCAGCACTTTGGGAGGCTGATGGAGGAGGATTGCTTGAGGCCAGGAATTCGAGGCTACACTGAGCTGTGATCTTGCTCCTGCACTCCAGCCTGGGAGACAGAATGAGACCCTGTGTCTTAAAACAACAACAACAACAAAAAAGATAAATGAGTAATATAATGTTCACAGTAAGAGCTACATAATAAGAATTATAGCTATAATTATTTGTCCATCAATATTACACACCAAAGTACACAAAGAAGTTGGGTTAACAATATTTCCCATTAGTTATTTGGCCATCAGACATATTTTATGAGAGGGTAATGCTTAAAACAAAATTTTCGTTAAATCATTCAGACTGATTTTTCATTTGCTTCATTCTTTTACCACTGAAAATCAAGAGGTGATTTCATAAAGAGATATGGTGTGGGACCCAAATATTCCTGCTTTTAAGATAATCCTTTTCCTTGCTGATTATATGGAAATAGATCTATGAGACAGAAAGAACTTTCTTATTGAAATTAGATTTTGTAATTTAATTGGCCTTTTGTACAAAATAGACTCTTGCCTACTTGATTTCCATTATGAAGAAGGGTGTCCTTGCATTTCAGCTTTCTCTCCAAATCTTGAATCAGAGCTTCTTTCGATCCTTGTATTTCATGATCAGGAGTCCTTGGTGTGGGCTTAGCATTTGCAGTGTGGGATGGCTTAGCATTTATAGGTTGGCCAGCTGAGGATTGTTGATAGCTTTAAAAAGGAAAAAGAAAAGATTTTTTTAAAAAGAAGATCTTTAAAGTAAAATGTGGTATCTAAAATAGAATTGGCTGTATTTTGTAAGTCACTTTTAGGTATGTTGAGTTTACCACTTAGTACTACTATTAATAGTATTATTAAAAATACCAATTGCCCTAATAACAGTCAAGAAGGATTTTATAAGAATGGCTACCATTTTTTTTTCTCTCTCCTGGCAAATGAAAATTAAGTGGCAGGAGGAAGGATTTAGATTAGACATAAGGAAAACATCCTTCCTGGAAGATCTTCCCTAAAGAATGTGAGAGTAAGTCTAGTTAATGGCAGCTTGAGAGCTCTTCCAATCTTATGACTGAATGTCTTAAGTTTGATTTACGGGAAGATATTAAGCGGTGGTGTGCTGAAGCTGGTTCATATGGGCTCAAGAGAGCATCTGTTCCAGCTACCCGTGATTTCATTTTATAATTTAAAATTGGTGGTAGTGGAAGTATTTGCATCAGGGAAATTGGTAAATACCGCAAATCATGGCTTTTTCCTCCAGAGCCGATTATTAGACATTTACCAGGACACAACTGATATTTAGTGCATATTCTGTCGCTCTGAATGGAGTCTACAGTTTATACTGTCTCTGGATTTCCTGTAATTTTCAATTTCTATTCGTTGCATATTCTAGAAAATCCAAGTATGACACTATATAACAAATAACTTCTAAAGTAATGACAGTTTCTTCAACATTGGTGAAGTGATTTTTAGAGAAAGAAAGGGATGATTAGAGGAAGAAGAAGAAAGCAATGTAAACTAAAAAAAGAATTTGGGAAAAAAAAGCAAATTTGAATAGCAGTTGAAGAATTTGGTTGAAGGATTTTTTTAAGTTCTGATCCTAAATTTTCTTCTAAGGTGTCCTTGCCCCTGTCATAGTTCCCCTGTTGATTCTGGTAGAGGATGGGTGGTACTTAGGGAGTCTTGTATTTTTAGGTCTGTTAGGTAGCTCAACACTATTCACAGTGCTTTGTTCAGTTTTTACCTAGTTTATTCATTCATGGCTGCACAGGGGCTAGCCTACATGAATCTGTTTAATGCGAGGAAACTGGCCACTGCCCTCAATGAGTATTTTGCCATTATTATAACTAATGTTCTCCAGCTATCCAGATGAGACAGCCTTAGCCTGTTCTCTGACATGATTCTGCCCAGATACTCTTGAGGATTATTAAAAGGACTTGTGAACTAAATGGAAATATGTTTCCTCCAAGTGGAGCCAGAGTTTTAATAGTTGCTGGCTTTGGGGACTTGGTTAGTAATTACTAGGGTGTAAACATTCTGAAGAAAAAAAGATGTCTTATTAGTTATCAATGTGTCATTTATATCCACTAATGCAAAGCATGAGCATAGGAGGTAGTATCAGTTGAATGAATGAATGTTTTTCATTGTATTCAAGATACTCTGTATTGAAAGTTGATGGTACACATTTTCCCTCCTTAATTTTAGACCTGTAGATCTTCAGATCTTTTAATCCTTAATATAGACAGTCTGATTTGTTCAGTTAAGTAAATAGTCAAAGTGTTTTTAAAAATAGTGAATTTTTTGTTTTTTTTTTAAAGATCGAATTCCTAGGCCAAAGTGGCAAAGTTCCTTTGGTCTTATAGATCTCATATTTCTCTAACCATATGAAATTATAATAGCCTACTGTTTTTTTTTAAATGCTAGCTTACCATCTTTATAAAAGTTACATGTTTGTTAAAGAAAATTAGCAATTGGATAATTGTTTTCAGGCTGTCATAATATGTCTGTGAAATTCTGAAGGATTATCCAAACCAGGACTGAGCATCACTGATGTACGTGTACCTCAGTCACTTCATTCACTGAATACCCCCGTTATTCCCAGTTTAGGTGACATAAGTGTTAGGCCTTGATACCTGCTCCTGTTTGTAAACTAACGTTATACTTTCACACTGCTTTATAGGTCTTTTTTCTATCATTGATTACCTAAATCCTTAATATTGTTACAGATCACAACACTGAATCACCGAGCAGTTAAGGTGCTTGCTGAATGTCACATAGCAGCTTTTTGGAAGGAATAATTAGGAATAATTAGAATTAAAGAGTTCCCCCTCAATTTTCAGTCTCTGGTTTAATCTACTGAATAAAATGTTTGCTTAGGGGCTTCCTGTTGATGAAAAAGCTAAATAAAGCCTTCAAACTTCTCTAGGTTAGAATTCAAGGGATTATTTTAGAAGACACTGCAAACTTGAGCCCATTATAACAATGAGGGATTTGTGCACAAATGTTCAAAGGGCCAAGACTTTCCACTCTGTACAGCTGGACATGGAATGGGTATCAAGTAGCTATGGGAAGATTAAAAGAGTTATCTGTGGTTTCTGAAAATGGAACAGCTAAAGCTGGATCTTTGATCTCTAGTTTGGGAAACTCCTAGGCTTTATTTCTTATTCTATTTTTGCCTTTTTTCTTTTCTTAGGTCTGTGTGCAGAGCTAGGTACATGGTTGAGGCTCAGTGAGTATTTGTTTGATAGCTTTCTTTTCTGGGTAGGAATTTGGAATAGGACTATAAGACTTTACTAAGAAAAATATTGTAGTGAGGAAAAGTTATTTTAGATTTTAAAATGCTCAGAATAGAAATTTGGAAATAATAAAAAGTTAGATAGAAAATGATCATCTGAGTAAATGTACCCAAGAAAGATCTACAATGCATGACATCAGTATAATGGGGGAATTTTGGAGGGAAGAGCGAGAGGGTGGTTAATTCTTGAAGGTGTCCTTTTAAAATATTAGGTCAGACCTATGAGAATGTCACTTTTGTAGGTCAAAAACAGTTCACTATCAGCCATTTCAAGGTTCAACCTAATGTCTATAGGTTTCTAGCAAATGCTTTTGGCTTTCCAGATTTTTATTTTTTAAAATATTGAAAATGTTTCTTTGCAAGTTGCTGTAGTCAGTTCAACTAGGTTTCCAGAGTTGTCACTAATAATACCAATTTTTGGAAAAATTAGCCTCTAAAGAAGACTGTGAGAAATTAGCGCGTATGAGTAAATGTGTCAGTAAGCCTGCAACAAAACCTATTCCATCAGACAGTTTTTGAGATGCTTCTGATTTAATTCTCAGATGTTCTAGTCAGCCAAGGAAAAGGAAAACTGATAGCCTTAAGTTTGCATAATCACAAAGTATTTAGTTCATGTTTTAAAAAAAGCACAACCACAGCCACTATGTCCTTTTTCATATCAGGTTCTCTTAGGAAAGTCTTAGGGCTGTGGAAATAATCCATGCTTGCATGAGGCTGCAGGTATTCTTCCCTGTATTTAGATCTGCCCGGCCAAATTGAACAAGGTATGGCTTGAATTGCCAAGGGGAACTTAAGGTCATTAGTCTTCATCTATTCAAGCCTGCCTTCTTCTGATCACAGCAAGGAAAATTCATACACTTGAGTGTCTGAATCCCAGATTTTTTAAAATTTATTAATTAAAAAATTTTTTCAGCTAAGTGGATATCCAAGATTAGAGGGGAAAATGGATAGGAAGAAAAGACTAAGACTGAGAAGAAACTTAATAGCCTCTGCTTATGTGAGAGGAAATCCTATCTAAGGAAGAGCAGACAGGTGTTCCTCATCTCAGCTGAGCCCAGAACCAGAGGAATTAAATATACAGCGTGAGGAGCTTAGCTTAGGACTAGAGGAAAAGTTTATTGTTCTTGGGTATGTTAGAAATTTTGTTTTCCAAAGATGGGAAGTAATGGGTAAGTAATTGTATGAGGTATTAGGTAATTTGGATTCAGCTCAGCCTAGATACTGGAGAATGGGTCAGATGACCTCTTACTGCCAGTACCCTGGTTCAATGTGTTCTAGGAGAGTTATGGAATGAGACCATAAGGTCACATTGCCTTTTTGGATGGTAAAGAATACTGCAGCATACCGCCCCCCAACTCCTCAGATGTGAGCTCACTGTACATGCAACATATACAAATTCACTTACTTGGAGTCCACAGTGGAAGGGATTTTACTGCTACTGTAATCAGGCTGTGATGGCAATATGGAGCTGAGGAAGCTGGCAGGTGACTGGTTATAGGTGGCTGTAACCCTTTGGCCTGGGTTGGAGCCAGCAAGCTGCTGGGGAGAAGCAGGGAAAGCAGAGGAGGACATGGTGATGTGAGAGCTCACTGTTGAAGAGGCAGAAAATCTTTGCTCTGTGCTCTGGCGGGGCTGGATGACGATGGAAGACTGTTTGGTCTGGCTAGAGAAGCTGGAGGTTTCTGGTCCAGGAGGCTGCAGTCTGGAGCCACACGGGTTTTGGGACTGGATGAAGTGTTTTGGACGTTCGTAGTTAAACATGCTTAGCTGATACACAGAAGATGAAGGCAGGTTATTACTACAATGATTTGTTCCTGGAAGGGTGGGGTCCTGAATTTGGGGCTGCAAGCCTGGAATTACAGAAAGTTGCAAGGAATCAAAAGCAACCTTGATCTGCCCCTTGTTGAGATCCTGAGAATACTGTGTGCCGGGCTTTGGTGGAGTGGGCTTCTTTTGAAGAATATTGTTCCTTCAAAGGGAGAAAATAGTTAAGTTACAATATTTGCTTAATCAACAATACTGTTTATTTGACATCTTTAGAACCTTGAGTACTTTTTTTTTTTTTTTTAGCTTTTGCGCTTTTAAGGTCACCTCAAGGTGGAACTTGCCTAGTTTTTAGATTTCTCCTTTCTTTTTTTCTATCTTTGCACAAATGGCTTTTCCCCTGAGAATAAGAAAAAGGGTTCATTAGTGTTTGCCCTGGGTGAAATCATGCCCAGGGGCTTCAAGATGTAGGAGCACAAAGTTGACTTTTCCAAGTTTTATGAAAAGAAATTATGTGATGATGCTTGGGGTGATAATTTTATGGTGTCATGATTAGCTTTTGCCCAGAGGCTGCAGTTTCATTAACCACAGAGATTTGATGATTTTAAATTAATAGCAGTTAAATATATAACATGCTAGCTTTCATTCAGTCTGGATTCTTCCCATTGCTCATCAGATTAATAGCCCTTCCGATACAACAATTAATTCATATCCCGATGGTCTCTGATGAATAAATAACACCTTGGTAAACCAAAGGAAGCAATATGCTTCTTTTTGTAAAAACATTACTTTAATGTCTATATTTACTCCTTTGCCTTTTCTCAGTTTCACAAAGTAAAAGTGAACATCTACAATTCATTATTGTCAACTTTGAGTGAATTTTTTTTCCTTACAATTCACTTCTTTCTTTTTCTTCCCTTGATTCTAAACTGACCTTAGTACCAAATTAGATGATAATTAGGGAGTGACTATATGTGTATAGTATGTTACAAACTGCACGCCAGAGCCATTCGTAAATTTTTTCTATTTTTAGACTATACTTTTTAGTTATTGGTCTTGGTGTTTTCTTAATTATTTAGAGCTTTACTTTTTATTACTTTTACTTGTTTAATATGTATTTTAGACTAATTGTGAAATTGTTTTAGCTCCTCTTTTACTTTTTCTTTTCAAATGGCACACAGGAAGTATAGAAGTAAGTTAGACACCTATGGAGCTAGTCTACACCTTATCAAAGGTGGGTGTCATTTCTTTTACTTAGCTCTGCAGTGGCCCTCCTGCCTTCCTGCAGTAGATCCCCATTTTTCCTTAGGTGAAACATTTGCCGTTAAGGTCAACCTAGAAGAATTATATTTGCCTCTGATTTTTTCCCATTAGTATGGTAAATCTAAGTGGACTATATATAGACATTACACACAAAGACTAGCCCTGTAAATTGTTGTAACACTAGTCCTATTTTTATTCAAAATATCAGATAATTTAATTCAAAATACATTTACATACTTTGTTTTACATAGTGTAAACCAATACTGAGATAATGATAAATCTTTTAACTGAAAGTTAACCAAATTGTTTATTATCATTGAAACAAAGTCTTGTAGTTATTTTAGTTATTATCTTGAAGAAAATACTGTTAATGAAACTTTTCCAGACCAAACTCCTTTATCCTAAGGTTATTTATATAGTTTAAATTAAAGCTAGCAGTTTTAGGAAAGAACAAAAATGCAACTGAACAGCCAAGAGAAAGACTCTATTGAAAAAGAATAACTTAAAAAGTTATATAATTCTTAATTTCAAGTTTATGAACACAAATACATTCAACTAGAATGTTTCATTTTAGAAAGGAACTACATTAGGTCTTTGTATTGTTGGGGAAAAACATCCAGAACGAGGGCTTTAATTAGATCTTCTCAAAGAAAGTCTATTTCAAGGCAAAGTAGTTATGTAGTTATGGGCTTATTGATTCTGTTGCAGAATTGAATTCAGCATTTGATTCCTGAATTCCTTTCTGGGAAGGCAAATTATTCAGACTCATTTCAAATAGCAAGGAATAAACTGCTTAAGAAATAGCCAATAATATTTTCTAAAAAGTGCTCCCTATTTTTCTTTATATATATTTTCAGAATGCCAGCTATCTTGTACATTTTGGAATTGGCCTACATAGTTAACAATTAGTGATTTTTTTTTTAAAACTCAATAATAAATATGTTTTCAAAAGTTTCACTTTATCCATGTCTCAACAAAATTTTATACAAATGTTTACACAGGTAGTTCTGTAAGGCTTTTCTTCATGTTTGTAGTTATTGTTCAAACAATTCAATTCTGTAATAGATTCTATTACATGATAGTATCATTTTATTCCAAATAATGTAAAATGAATTTCAAAGATTTTATAAATAAAATACCATTGAGTCTCCTATGTTAAAAATTTTAACTTTTTTTCCCTGTTTCTAACGTAGTATAGACTTGCACAAAACACTGATAGAGGATATTTGACGCCACAGGACGTGACCACAATTATAGCCAGATCAAGTGTCCCTTTAAAAGGAAATATGATTTAAAAATAATGACACACAACTATCTTTCCACCATCCTTTGTATAATGCCTTCCAGTCTCAATGGAATGAATGGGTCACTTTCTCTTTTAAATCTTAGTATAAAACCATTACGATGTTGTGGAATTCAAACTTTTTATCTAAAGATCATCTTTGTACACAGTGCTCAGCTTTGGACAAAAAACAAAAACAAAACCCAAAACCATAGGAGGAATAAAGAAAGGACTTACCCGTAGTTCCAAAGGGTGCCAGCTGGGTTTAACCCACTATTGAAGAGAAGGAAGGAGGCATCTCCTTCTCTTACAGGCTAATCTAGTGGCTCTGTGCTTAGTATTATAGCACCACTGACTTTTATCAGCTGCCAAACAGTGACATCTGATGTGCTTGCCTGTCCATCCACCTATGCTGGTATGTCAAAGTAAGAGTCCACAATCTAAACAATATCTCAGATGTCTTAATGATATTTAAGGAGTGGGATTACATGAGCTTCTCTTGCAGGCCTCTTTATTTTAGACATGAATTTTGACTATGAGCTTTAGCAAGCTAATGTGGGGGAGGAGCACTGAATGGGGAAATGGAAAAAAATATAAAGAAAACTCCATTTTAAAAACTATGGTGTGGGCTTTGAATCTTTCCTGTATAAGAGACAAGGACTAAAAGGAAATAGTATTTCAAGATGAGTTCTTCTATCTAATAAGACTTCTCCAGTGATATGACCAGTGATGGACGGGCTCCCAGTTGATTTGTGTTGCATAATTCTTCATGTGACGTCTTTCTTTTGCCTGACGAGAGTGGGGATGGATTAGGATTCCTACAGTTTGTTCTGGGAGGGAGTGTAGTCTGGACAAAGGTAAGAGAGCAGGGTCATGGTGACTTGTCACTGGGAAGGTAGGGAGGTGGAAAAACATAATTGTGTTTCGTTAGCAAGTTTTCTGAATCTGTATGGCATATGCTCCTTTCACTAAGTACTTTTATTCTGAAAGAGTCTTTAAACACTTAAGAAACAACCAAATAAACAATCTATACAATTAGAGCTGTTAAAGCTCTTTCTTTCATCTCCCTTTACTCCTAACAATTATGTAGTTTCCTTTCTCTTTTGGCCTCGGGGACCATCATGGTATTTAGGTTTCTGTTTTTTGTGCAGAGAAGTAAATAATTACGGAAGAAGAAACCTTCACATTAACAAATGTGGTGGCATGGGATAGGTGGCGTGAGGATCAGGCCAATAGAGTAAGATTATCTCCGTTTAGTGCCTCAATTCCCCTCCCTAATGGGTAGGTACTCCAAGCTCGATTTAATTACCATGTTCATTAGGGTCTAACAAATAGATATTTGAGCACATATGAGCCACAGAAAATTCTTCACAGCTTACCATATAGGTGTCCCTTTCTCTGGTGTTCAGAGAAAGTTTAATAATTGCCTCTTAGGCACGCAGCCATTACTTAGTAGAAAAAGCATGCTGACTTGACGAGTAGGTGGTTGCCTACAAAGTCTTATTTCAGGAATCTCCCAAAATATTTCTCCACATCTGCTCACTGATATTTCAGATTCCATTAGTAGAGACAATGCCTTTCAATCCAAAGTAGAGAGACTTAAAATGCAAATACAAGTAACATAACAAAAATAATAAAAGGGCCGGGTGCGGTGGCTCACTCCTGTAATCCCAGCACTTCCGGAGGCCGAGGTGGGAGGATTGCTTGAGGCTGGGAGTTTGAGACCAGCCTGGGCAATACAGCAAGACTTTGTCTCTACAAAATAATAATAATAAAAAAGAATGAGCCAGGCATCTTGGCACATGTCTGTCCTCCCAGTTACTGGGGAGGCTGAGGCAGGAGGATCACAGGAGTGTAGGAGTTTGAGGATGCTGTGAGCTATGATTATGCCACTGCACTCCAGACTTGGCAACAGAGTGAGACCCTGTCTCTTAAAAAAAAAAAAAAAAGAATAAGAATAGCCAACATATATGGCATTTACTATGAGTAAGACATTATTCTAAGCATTAAAATTTGGTGTATGTGACTGACATTTGGTTCTGCCTGGGGACAGGGTTTGATTAGAGCAAGGAAAAGGAGATGTTAGATCTTAGTACTAAAAGTTTGAGGTACACCCCACCAGCAAAGTAGGGAAGATGTCCAAGACAAACTGATAAATCCCCAATTTTGCCTACAGTACGTTCTACATGTACTACAGTTGAGGAATAATTTTAGTTCCACTTACTCTTCGTCCTTCAAGCTTCACCTCTTCTTTTCTCCACTTCTCTGTAGGATGTAACCTGGGTTACAGTGTAGCCTCCGTGGTATATCAAGGCTAAAGTTCTTGCTATAATAAGGGGATCAAAGGATGATTTAGGAAAGGTAAGTATGTCCTCTTTTATGACACATTCTCTGTTGTTAGGGCCTATATTTAATGATCTATTATGAATCTTTTTTTCCTATCTTTTAGTAT